GGCTGGCTGCAGCAGGGCGGGGGGTCTGTGCTTAGGGTGTGGGGTCACCCCATGCTCCTCAGGCAGGAATAGCTCTAGGAGGGTGTCAATGCATGGCTGCATGGGGGTACCCCCCAGCCTGGGGCTCCCCAGCCCCACTCCTGCAGGGAGTGGGGGGATGAGGGCAGGGAGGTGCTGGTGCAGAGAAGCCCATGGAGCTCCTTGGGTCCAGCCTTAGCTAGAGAGCTCAGTGCTGGATGCAGATCAGGGGTCCCTGTGGAGGTGCGGGAGCTTCATCCCCATCCTCTGTGGCTGCTGTGGGTCAGGATCCCCATGCCAGTGTGGCACTGCAGGACCAACTGGTCTCCAGTCTGCTCTGGCCAAAACGCTGCCCTGACCTGTGTCAGCAGCAGGAGCCACACTGCTGTCCTGCTGTCCCTCCATTCTGCTGTCCACCTACCAGGGGTGCGGCAGCCAATTGCTCTGGGTCCCTCCTGGGGCTGCTGCCACCAGGGCCAGGATGCAGTGGCTCTCAGCCAGGGGCCCTTCCTGCTCCTAACGCCATCTCTCGCTGCTTACTCCTGCAGACGTGAGGAACAATGAACTGGGCCGGCCTCTACACGGTGCTGAGTGGGGTGAACCGCCACTCCACCGCCATAGGGCGCATCTGGCTCTCTGTCATCTTCATCTTCCGGATAATGGTGCTGGTGGTGGCAGCTGAGAGTGTCTGGGGGGATGAGAAATCTGCCTTCACCTGCAACACCCAGCAGCCAGGCTGCAACAGCGTCTGCTATGATCACTTCTTCCCCATCTCCCACATCCGTCTGTGGGCCCTGCAGCTCATCCTCGTCACCACGCCAGCCCTCCTTGTGGCCATGCATGTGGCCTACCAGCAGCACCAGGAGAAGAAGCTACTGGTGCTGACGGGGCATGCAGACCCCAAGCACATGGAGGAAGTGAAGAAGCACAAGATGCGCATATCGGGCTCACTGTGGTGGACGTATGTCTGCAGCGTGGTCTTCAGGCTGCTCTTTGAGGCTGTGTTCATGTACATCTTCTATATGCTCTACCCAGGCTACCAGATGGTGCGGCTGGTCAAGTGCGAGGCTTACCCCTGCCCCAACACTGTTGACTGCTTCATCTCTCGGCCCACTGAGAAGACCATCTTCACTGTCTTCATGCTGGTCACCTCCAGCATCTGCATTGTCCTCAACATGGCAGAGCTGGTCTACCTGGTGGTGCGGGCCTGTGCCCGCCGAGGCCAGCACAACTCCAACCCCCCATCAGGGAAGGGCTCCTTCTATGGGCACAAGCTCTCCTCCGAGTACAAGCAGAATGAGATCAACCAGCTGCTGACAGAGCAGGATGGCTCCCTCAAGGACATGCTGCGCCGCAACCCCGGGCTGCAGGAGAAGGGCGATCGCTGCTCTGCCTGCTAGGGCCAGCACCACAGGGCCCCAATCCTTGCCCCTGCCCCACAGGTGCCCCATAGCCCTGTGCTGTCCCAGTCCAGTGGATAGTATCCCTCAGGCACCGGTCTGGCCCTCCAGGATGGTCAGGAGGGCATCTCGGGCCATTAAATCTCCTTTCTCAGGCGCCGCCTCCCTCCTTTCTGCTCCAGCCGGGACATGCCTGGGACTGGGGTGCCAGTGTGGGGTGCTCACCCCTGCACCTTAGCCCAGGTGGGTGCCACCAGGGGCTGTGGGAGCTGCAATGCTTGGGCTGTGCTGGGGCCATGGCTGTGGTGCCCTGGCAGCTAGCATGCAGGAGTAGTGACCCCTGGGTGGCATTGAGCATTGTCCAAGGGCTCACGCTCCCCCAGCACCAGCCCCTGCAGCCCCGAATATATTTAGAAAAGTGCCCAGACCAAAAATAGAGGGGAAAAGTTTCCCCAGTGGCTGTTTCACATGCCAGTCACAATGAAAGCCAATGGGGCATGGCAGCTGCCTCATGCCCCGGTAACCCCACGCCTGCCGTCGGGTGGACAGACGGACGGAGCCAGGCAGACCTGTCCGCACCCCAGTGAGGAGCTGGGGACCAGCCAGGAAGGGGCCTCACAGCATCCCGCACCACCCCGCTGAGGGGAGCTGACGGCACAGGAGCACCGGGCTCTGCCCTACGTGCCTGCCAACGGTGAGGGGTCCCCATGCCGGATCGCCACTGCGGTGTCCCCCACGGTGCTCCCAGTGTGGTAGGGCTGCCTTCTCCCGGAGGTCTTTGCTCCTGCTGCCCTCCCCACGACAGGTTAGGGGGTCCCATGGGACACAGGGTGGGGACACTCCAGGGACAGCCCCGGGTTGGGTCCCTGCATGGGCCCGGGG